GTCTTGAAAACAGCCTGGTATTGGCACAAAAATAGACAGGTAGGCCAATGGAATCCAATCAAAATTCCTGAATTAACCCACACATCTATGAACACCTGATTTTTGACAAAAGAGCTAAAAGTATGCAAAGGGGGAGGAAAGCATCTTCAAGAAATGGTGCTGGCACAACTGGATGATGGTGTGTAGAAGGCTGCACATAGACCATGTGCCACACACAAAACTCAAATCTAAATGGATCAAAGACCTCAACATAAATCCAACCACACTGAACCTCTTAGAAGAGAAAGTAGGAGGTACCCTTGAACAAATTGGTATAGGAGACCACTTCTTGAACATAACTCCAGTAGCACAGACTTTGAGATCGACAATTAATAAATGGGACCTCCTCAAACCTAGAAGCTTTTGTAAGGCAAAGGACACAGTGACAAGACCAAATGGCAGCCCACAAACTGGGAAAAGATTTTCACCAATCCCACATCTGACAAAGGGATGATCTCCAAATACACAAAGAACTCAAGAAACTAGTCAACAAAACATCAAATAACCCTATTTAAAAAACTGATGATGAACTGAAGTTGCAATTCTCAATAGAGGAAATCGAAAAATTTGAAAGACACTTAAGAAAGTGCTTAACATCTTTAGCTATCAGGGAAATGCAAATCAAAACAACTTTGAGATACCATCTTACTCCTGCCAGAATAGCTAACATTAGAAACACCAATGACAGCTTATATTGGAAAGGATGTGGAAAAATGGGAATACTCCTCCACTGCTGGTGGGAGTGCAAACTTGTACAACCATTTTGGACATCACTATGGCAGTTCCTCAGGAAAATGGGAATCCCCCTCTTAGGCATATACCCAAATGATCCACACTATGCAACAAAGACGTGTGTTCAACTATGTTCATAGCAGCATTATTTGTAAGAGCAAGAATCTGGAAGCAACTTAGATGCCCCTCAACTGAAAAATGGATAAAGAAAATGTGACACACAATGGAATACTTCTTTGTGGAGGAAGGGGGAAAAACAACAACAATGGAATCTTGAAATTAGTAGGCAAGTGGTTGGAACTTGAAAAAAAAACCTGAATGAAGTAACCCAGTCACAGAAAGATGAACATGGTATGTACTCACTCATATATGGATTTTAGACATAGAGCAAAGAATCACCAGCCTATAATTCACACCGCCAGAGGAACTAGGATACAAGGTAGATTCTAAGAGATTCATATAAGGATACTTCTTTAACTTAGAAACGAAAGAAGTCCTAGTCCCTACTTCAAATGCCTTGACAGATTTAGATGACCCCTCCTGGATGGCATCACATTACATGTCAAGTCAACATTATAAAGGAATATAAATACATGGCAAATAAGTAATAGGTATTTTTTTTATCTATCACAATGGAAATTTATATATTGTCTTGACAGAAGAGTTACCTTGAGATGGGAGCAAACTGTAATTAATTCATGGAAATTATGTACAAGGTAGTTTTGACTCATCTGGCTCTAACAATAATAATGACAGCATGAGTTTCTGGCTTTTATAGATTACTAAAGTGAATATTAAGAAGTAGAAATTTCCCAAAGTTTTCACAGCCACCTTTCAGAGAAGTCTGGTTCTGATCATAGGCCAAGTTGACTGGACTGAGTATCTCCCAAGTGTAACTGTGCCTCTAGATGCCACAGACAGACCAAGATCCAGTGCTATTCTCTTCCATAATATCTATATGATGCCAAAGAGTTAACAGTTCTCTTCTTTGTTACATCATCTCAATTAACTGTTTTCCTTTAATCATGAATTCCTGTAGCATCTATGATCATGATTCCTATCATAAATATAAATATCTGTATCGATACCATTTTTACTAACCCAGTTTCAAACAAAAATTTTATTTTCTAGGTGAAAGCCTTCCCAGCTTGTTTCCAAGCAGCTTTACTGTAAATGTGCCATTTCCACAAAACTGAGAGCTCAATGGTGTTTTCCTGATTGGCACACAGCCCAGAAGTGTCGTCCCAGAATTGTGGTCCTCATCTTATAAGCCACTTCACTCGAGGACAGTGGGAGACCCAGGCAGCATTTGGATTTCACACAGCCTTATTCCACAAGGCAAATGCAGTGTTTTCTTCCAGGGAGTGAGTCCTCTAAGTCCTTCTGAGAAGTGGCTCTGCATCACTGCTCTTCCTAAATGTAATGAACTTCAGATGTCTCATTCCCTTGAAGGAAGCAGCTTTAATTGGAGAAATAGAAGAGGTAGCAACTGGACCAAGTGTTCTCTAAGGACTTCGGGCTATTTTCATGATCCTTTTCTAATTCCTTGCATCTCCCACTATTCACACCATCCCCAAACCCAGAGAAGTCATTTTTTAAGTGTTAGAAGAATATAAATAAGTTATTTTCCATAGTGTTTCATAATTACACTTTAAAGGCTGAAGATGTTATAGCCTATGCCATTAAATACATGCATTGCACAATATGAGATGACTTTCCTGCATTTTCTATATAAAAGAGGCTACAGTCATTCCTCACATGGAGCAAAGGGCAGCTCACTCCCAAACTCTTCATTGCAGCCACCATGACCATGAATACATGAACAGTTGACATTCCATCAACACTAAAATACCACCACTGCCCATGACCCACTTCTTGATGGTTTGGTTCCTGAGTCCTTTTGAGGCCTCATCCCTCTCCCAAGCCCTCCTCACTTGTGAGCTTGTCAGGAAAAGTGATCTCCTTACAGATCATTGTGTTACAAACTATGTTGTAGACCCATTCTTTCACACTAGTTTCCTTTGCCCAGAGACAATATCTGAGACAGTAAGTTGGCTACTACATTATTTCATAAAATATCTCATCCTGTCACCCATAAGAGAGAATTTCACCCATTGTGTCCACCAAGCTTTATATCACCTGAGGCTGTATTAACTTTCTCCTAAGCCTTGAACATCAAGTTTCATGGTGCATAGTATGCATTCTCACTTATATTTAAGAATATAAGCTCCATAGAATGTAAAATATAATATGTTCCAGAAATTCCAATGTTGGAAAAATTACTTTAAAAGACCTCAAAAGTTTATGCTGAATTCATTCACAAATGGATGAAACTCGAATTTCCCACAATTTCCTAAGTTTGTTAGGAGATCAGAATTGTTCATAGTATCTAATTGTATTTTTTATTGAACGCTTACTCCTTTTGAAATGTTCCCTTTGCCAGTTATGTCTAAACTCAGTGAAAGTACTCATCAGAATCAGAAAGTACTCATCCCTTTAAGATTTATCTAAGGAACAGGTACACAAGCAAACAGCAAGCTTGCATCTTATTAGCCACCAATCAAAAGTAAGGAGCAAGGCTCAATTCTAAACTATATCTTGAGAAGATCTACGGCTGTAAAGCTCTTATCACCTTCCGTATGTACTTATGTTACCACCATGATAGAAATAAACTAAAAGGCTACAGACCTTACAACTTATCCACCAATAAACAATTTAGTTTAATTACTTTTGTTCTTTGCATGTAAGACAAATGTAATTAACATGAAAATGCCTATGTTCCTAAATGTGGCCAACACCATTAAATGAACTACCCATCTACTTGTCTTGAGTTTGGATGTAGAATCAGAGTCTTGTGTTTAACTATGAGAATACAGCAACAATTATGGATTGGGCCATATAATATTTCATTTTAACAAATTAAAAGAAACACAGACTCAGGCCTGTGAGATGGTTCAGCAGGGAAAGGCAGTCACTGTGCAATCATGTCAACCAGAGTTCCATGGAAAATACAGCCCATGTAAAAGTCAATGGAGTAAATAAACTCTACAAAGTTGTCCTCTGGCCTTTACATGTTATGAACTATTCCATGGCAATCATTAATTCCTTTCTGGAAATCATGTTAAGGTACAGAATGAGAGAAAGCCACAGAGTAAGGATATGGAGGTTATTGAAGAATAATGTCCCTGATGAGAGCTAGCAAGAAAGGAAAGTTATCAGCTCTTCAACTGTAAGAAATTTAAAATTCTGCCAGCAAGAGCAAAACCATGGGAAAGAGTTTCTTGCTCCAGGAATAAACAACTCATGTCACCCTTGGTCGAAAATTTGACATATTAAGCAAACCAGATACACTATTCCTAAACATATTAAAATGAAAAAGAAATACATATACATAAAGATTAAAATGCACATTATTTAAGCCACTAAGTTTATAACAATACACAACAATGACAAAAAAATGTACTGGTATCAAGCAAGCAAGGAGAGGCACATCCTATAAAATAGCTAAAACAGATTTTAGCATATATATTGTTGTAATAGCTCATCACAACTGTCCAAGAGAACTACTGTGAGAACTAGTTCAGAAATTCCTTATATAAGTATAGAAACATGTATGTATGAAACAATAATTAATAAAAAGATCATGAATTTGGGTGTTAGTAGAGGTATATATGGGAAAATTTAGAGGAAGGAAAGAGAAGTGATAAATGGCGTACTTGTATTATAATCTCCTCATTTGCTTCCCTGTCCCTATTTTCCTTCCCTCTCCATTTCTCCTTCTTCTACCACTAAGAATTTGTGTCCTAATTGCAAACAACATACTCAAAGAAATGAAATGTTATGAAAGTTAAGTGTGCTTAAAGGCTCTGTGATGGAAAAGACAGTTTAAATTCCATGGAAAGTCATTGAGTAATTAAAAACAAATGAAATCACAAACATAATTTTTTACTTAACATAAGTACACAGCACATGTTTTTTCTTACAATATAAAATTGAAATGAGGAGCCACATAGCAGTATATCAATGGCATGTCATAAGAACTGAATTCATGAAGGTTGTTGTTATCTAGGGACAGTCTCCAGACTTTCTGCTTATCCTGAATTCATCAGTCATGCATGCCAAGTCATGAATAATGTGCATGCATTTGCAAACAACTGAAAACTAACTTTAAAAAAATACTAGTCACAATAACCTTCAGTGACATAAATAGTACCAATAAGAATACTCACACTTTCTTTAAGATAGCTAAGAACTCTATAAACTTCATTGCAGCTCTTTCTTCTTCATAAAGAGTAGGACCACCACGTGCTTGTCTGACATACACACCTATGTTGTGTGACTCTTCAGGTTGAGGAATCATTTCATCTGTTTTTCCAGTAAATTTTCTGAAAAAAGGGACAATTTCACAATGCATACAAATTTTACATGAAGGTCTACTTTTCTCTCAATTATAAAATCACATGTTTGGTGATAAATCAACATTTGAATAGAATTCTTCTTGGTGTTTGCATTGTTTACACTCACTAGTGTAGTTATATTTGTATGGCATTGCACCTAAGCCTAGAAATTAGCATACATAAAATATTTTCAAAATATATAATTTGATTATGTTACATCTTGTAAGCATTTAAAATATATAAATCAAGGTGATTTTACAAATCAACAACCAAACTTTCCCTTTTCATACAACAGATTTATATATCTGTGGTTTTACCACATAGAATATAGTTTTCATTGTTATTTCCCATTTATAATCTATAAACATCTTGACCATTACTTGTAGTGAGATAGTTACTTTGTTTCCTTCTGTGGCACTGGCCACACCCATTGGGGGGGTGGAGCCATGGGCGGAAGTGACCTGTGGAAGGAGGTCTGAGGAAGAACCAGGGAATGCTCTCTTGCTGGCAGGACTCAGACAGGAGAGCATCCGGTGGAACTTGCTGGTGTTCATCTGTCTAGGTTGTAAGTTATTTCTCCCTGAATAAACATCTATTCAGCCTATTTGTTTATCCTGATCCTTATTTAACCGCAATAATTACTACCAACAAACATATTCATATTCTGTTTTTATTTTTCTTATTTTACATATCGATCCCAGTTCCCTCACACTCCCTCCCCTACTCTCTTTCACCCTCCCATGCCCCCCGACCACCCTCCCCTACCACCCACCCCCATTCCACAGGTAGGGTGATGCCTTCCAGGAGGGGTTCTCTAAATCTGTCAAGTCATTTGGAGTAGGTACGAGGCCCTCCTTCCTGCGCGTCTAGGTTAAGGGAGTATCCCTCCATGGGGAATGTGTTCCAAAGTCCTTTTGTGCACCAGGAATACATCCTGTCAGAGGTCCCTTAGACTGCCCAGGCCTTCCAACTGAGACCCACGTTCAGGAAGTCTGAGTCAGTCCAATGCTGAATTCCTAGATGGGAGCCCATTTAGCTGCTCCTTGTTTAGGTCAGCTGTCATTGTGGGTTTAGTAGCCTGTTCTTGCCCTCCCTATGTGCATCTGGATTCGAGTTCATCTCAGTGTTTAGTTGTAGGTGTCTGCTTCTGTTTCTATCAGCTACTGGATCAGGGTTCTATGATGGTGGATAAGTTAGTCATCAATCTCATTATCAAGAAAGGGCATTTATGGTAGCCTTTCCAATGTTGCTGAAATTGTTAGTTGGGGTTAGTCTTGTAGGTCTCTGGATATTTCTTTATGGTCTCTCCTCTCTCTCTCTCTCTCTCTCTATATATATATATATATATATATATATATATACACACACACACACACACACACACACACACACACACACACACACACACTTTCCTCTCATCTATTCCTCCCCTGACTTGATCTTCCTATCCCACATGCTTTTCTCTCCTCCCCTTCTCTTTCTCCTATGTCCCTCTCCACTAACTGCTCCTCAACTCCCAATATGCTCAGGAGATCATATCCCTTTTCCCTTTATGAGGGACTTTGTATGAATCTCTTAGAATCCTCCTTGTATCCTAGATTTTTCTGGTGGTGTGAATTATAGGCTGGTGATCCTTTGCTTTGTGTCTAAAACACATATATAAGTGTATACCACGTTCTTCTTTTTGTGACTGGGTTAACCCATTCAGGATGGTTTCTTCAATTTCCATCCATTTGCCTGTGAATTTCAACATTCTGTTGCTTTTGTCCGCAGAGTAGTATTCCATTATGTAAATGTGCCACATCTTTTTTATCCATTCTTCACTTGAGAGGCACCTAGGTTGTGTCCAGGTTCTTGCTATTACAAATAATGCTGATTTGAACAAGTTGAACACATGTCTTTGTTGCATGGATGTGGATCATTTGGATATGTGCCTAAGAGGGGGATTGCCGGGTTGTGGTAGACTGATTCCCATTTTCCTGAGGAACTACCATACTGATCTCCAAAATGGCTGTACAAGTTTGCACTCCCACCAGCAGTATAGGAGTGTTCCCATTTCTCCACATCCCCTTCAACATAAGTTGTCATTGCTGTTTCTAATTTAAGCATTCTGTCAGGAGTAAGATTCTATATCAAAGTTGTTTTGACTTGCATTTCCCTGATAGCTAAAGATGTTGAGCACTTTCTTAAGTGTCTTTCAGCCTTTTTGTTTTCCTCTATTGAGAATTCCATCTTCAGTTCTGTACCCATTTTTAAATAGGGTTATTTTGTGTTTTGTTGACTAGTTTCTTTAGTTTTTTGTATATTTTGGAGATCAGCCCTTTGCCAGATGTAGGATTGGTGAAGATCTTTTCCCTGTCTGTGGGCTGCCTTTTGTTCTTATCAACTGTGTCCTTTACCTTACAGAAGCTTCTCAGTTTGAGGAAGTCCCATTTATTAATTGTCAACCTCAGTGTTTTTGCTACTGGAGTTATGTTCAGGAAGCAGTCTCCTGTACAGGTTTGTTCAAGGGCACCTCTCACTTTCTCTTCTAAGAGGTTCAGTGTGGCTGGATTTATGTTGAGGTCTTTGATCCATTTGGACTTGAGTTTTGTGCATGGTGATAGACAGGAGTCTTCTACACACCATCATCCAGTTGTGCCAGTACCATTTCTTGAATATGCTTTCCTCCTCCCCTTGTATACTTTTAGCTGTTTTTTTTTTTTTTTTTTTTTTTTTTTGTCAAAAAATCAAGTGTTCGTAGGTATGTGGGTTAATATCAGGATTTTTTTACTTGATTCCATTGGTCTGCCTGTCTATTTTGTGCCAAAACCAGGCTGTATTATATTCTATGGCTGTTGTACACTTCAGTATTCCAATAAATGTACGAAAAAAATGATAATTTTTGGATAAAAAATAGAATCCATCTTTCTGCTGCATACAAAAGCACACCTCAAATTCAAATCAGACATTACCTCAGAGTTCAGGGTTGGGAAAGATTTTACAATCAAATGGACCCAAGAAACAAGTGGCTATGACAATCCTAATACCTAACAAATTTGACTTCTAACTAAATCAATCAACACAGATGAAGAATGTCATTACATATTCCTCACATGAAAAATCCATGAAGATCAAATCTCAGTTCTGAACGTCTATGCCTCAAATACAAAGGTACTTGCATTTGAAAAAGAAACATTACTAAAAATCAACACCCCACTCTCAAAATTAGACAGGTCCACCAGATGGAAACTTACAAAGAAACAAAGGAACTAATAAAATTTATGAACCAATCGGGTTTAAGAAACATTAATAGACATTCCATAAGAATACACCTTCTCCTCGGTACCACATGCAATCTTCTCTAAAATTGACCACATACTCAGCAATAAAGCAAACCTCAATAGGTAAAGAAAAAAATTGGACCAACCCCTGTATCTTATCAGACCACCATGCTTTAGAGTAAGAATTCAACAACACAAAATGTAGTAAGCCTATAAACTCATGGAAATTGAACAATGTGAAACTGCACCATTCCTGAGCCAATAAATAAATAAATAAATATAAAAGACTTCCTAGACTTCAATGAGAATGAAGACACAACATTCCCAAACTTATAAGACACTTTGAAAGCAGTATTAAGAAGAAAGTACATAGGACTAAGTGCCCATATGAAGAAATGGGAGAAGTCACATTAGAGAACTGTAAGCCCTATAATAAAAGAAGCAAACTTGCCCCAGAGGAGTAGACAACAGGAAATAATCAAATTGAGGGCTGAAATCAATAAAGTAGAAACTAAGAAAAATGTTACAAATATGTTTTCCCACCAACCTTGTCTCATAGCCGCACCAGCCCCAAATAACACACAAAGATGTTACATTAGATATAATGCTGTTAGCCTGTTACTAGCATTACATATTGGCTAGCTCTCCCTTAAATATTAACTCATTTCTATTAATTTAAGTATTTCCACCTGGTCTTATCTTACCAGAGAGAAGGCCTGGAGTTCTGCTCTCCCTGTCCTACATGTTGAATCTCCTCCCACCTGCCCCTGTATTCTCCTTGTCTCCTAGTCCCACCTACCTTGCTTTCCTATTGGCAACAGGATTTTATTCATTAACCAATAAGAGAAACATATTTACAGAATGACATTTCCTATCAGGAAAACAATATAAAGAATCAATTTAACAAAGAGATGGTTCTTCAAGAAAATCAACAAGATAGATAAACATTTATCCAAACTAAGATAAAGAAAGAAAGTGAACATGCAAATTAACAAGATCAAAAATGAAAATTGGAACAAAACAATGGATATTAAGGAAATCCGGAATTTCTTCAGGTCATATATTGAAAACTTGTAGTGATATATTTAAAAGAGGTACATTCATACAACAAGAACATCTGTTCAACTATGTTTATAGTAGTATTATTTGTAATCGCCAGAAGTTGGAAGCAACCTAAATGTCCCTCAACTGAAGAATGGAAGCAAAAAATGTGGTACATTTACACATTGGAGTGCTTCTCAGCAGGAGGGAAAAAAAGAACAAACAAAACAAAAAAAAAATGGATTCTTGAAATTCATAGGCAAGTGGATAGACCTAGAAGAAACCATCCCTGATTAAGGTAACCCAATCACAAAAGGACAAACCTGGTTTGTACTCACTCATATATAGAGCAAAAATTACCAGCCTACCATCCATAGTGCCAGAAAACCTAGGAAACAAGGAAGACCCTAAGAGATACATACATATATACATGGTTCCCTGGAGAAGGGGAAAGGGACAAGATTTCCCAAGCAAATGGGGAGCGTGGGGGGAGGGAAGAGTGAATCAGGAGGAAGAGGAGGGGAGAGGTAGGCATGACTAAACAAGAAGATTGAGTGAGGGAATGAATAGAGGAGAGCAGAGAGAGAGAGAGAGAGAGAGAGAGAGAGAGAGAGAGAGAGAGAGAGAGATACCATAACAGCAGGAACAACTATAGGTTTAAAGAGAAATCTGGCACTAGGGAGA